CAGTGTCACAATTTCATAATATAACGAAGCGATATACAAGCTGTATTTGTAGTTAAATTCTATCACAAATCAACTTCAACTGTTTACGAATAAAATACATGCTGTTAAAAATTAAAAATACCCTCAATTCAAAATAGTTTCATTTTAAAAAAAAAAGCTTACAAAAACGGCTGAACAGTTTTACATAAATTATATATAGTATATATAGTTAAGAGAACTCTCGATATTATTATTAGTATTAGCAAATATCATCTTTTTAATTAAAATGATTGAATAAAAATCGGTAAATTTGTTTTGAGGCTATAGACAGATACAAATAAAGGGGGTGTGATAGTCTGTATATTATACATTCGTGACAATATGTATATATTTTTAATAATGTTTGAGTATTTTTTAGTCAATAATTAGCTCCGAAGTAACAGTCCGCCATGTTATGTACATACAGTGGACGTGAGAGTCGAACGCAGAGCTCTTAAAGCCTAGTGTGAGTTTATATTACACATGAACTCGCTCTCGACGGCGAGCGCGTTGGGCGTTGCGTTTGGTGAAGATTTCAGTGCGGGCCAATAACAACGAAGAACGCGATCACCGTGACGATTCAGCTGATGTGGAACAAACTCACACTAGGGTCTCAGGACTACTGCCATTACTGTGGTTTAGTTACTCCCCCCCTCACCACACGTCCCAACTGCATTCAACTCGCGCCACTACCATATAAGTATTACAAAAATTCTCTAGAAATAATAATATGCAACAAAAACCTCCCCTCCCTGAATTACTGATATATAGATATTATAATCTTTCCTTATAACCCTCTAAACAGACAAATGAACTGAATAAATGACAAAAGGTCGAAACTTGGTAAATAAGCTAGCAAATTTAAAAAAACGGACGTTTAATTTAAATTTAATTTTTAAAAAGATATTACCACGCTTGATAATAACACATAAATGCTGGCTACAACAACAATAAACACATATATTTTCCCAGACACTGGCTTCAAAATTCCCCAACATTTGTACTGTGCCTGCCATCAATCAATAACTATATAAAATCGATTACACAATCTAATAACTATTAAAATGGATAAACGATATAATATTAGATATGTTAGAGGCTTAAACTATTAGAATTAGCAATCCGCAACAAATATATAACAGGACAGTTACACTGACTATACGAAAATTTTACTCCGTAGCATAATTTATAAAAAAACATTGCAATGAAATTCATAATGGAACCCGATTGATAATATACAATACATTTGTCATTTAGTATCGCTTAACGTACGCATAGCTTTCAGTATACTTGCAGTTTTAGGCGATCTCTTAAACCAGGGTTACTCAAAGTAGCGTGCACGTACCCCCAATGATAGGTGTTTTGTCGTCAACAGATGCTATGATTTTCCATAACTCTTAAAGATGAATCGCAAAGTGTTTGTAATTTAGAGAGCGAAATGCCAATAATATCGCACTCGTAGAGCAGTGCAATTTCACTCTTTGTGACACTCATTTAAGTGAGTGGGTTTTCATATCAAATGGCAATAAAAAAATAATATAGAAATCGATAGAAAGTCTAAATAACGATTAAAATTTACTCAAATTGCTCTTAGAAACTTAATAAAAGACGAAAACCAAGCTCACTTGTCACATTAACTAAGTATAAGCAATTTATTTATTTGCTTATTTACAAGGTCATTCATAAAAAAAACAGCTTGTATAGTCCTACTTTTAACATGATAGGGGTACACCTTTGTTCCGAAAATCTCATAGGGGTACAGGACACCAAAGTTTGAGAAACCTTGTGCTAGACTATCAATAAATAATGCCATATCTCAGAATTAAATTGTGACAATTTTTATATACAATAATAATTACGTTCAAATTATACTAACTAAAATCATTCATAAGCTATTTTTTCAGACTTGTGGTCGCCTTTTTAAATTTTCATTAATCTCTTGAGACATTAAACTATTATGAATAAAATATAATAAAAACATAAAAGCCAAGATACCAAGTAACATGTATAACATTTGGAAAAAAATAAGTACTTTTTTTACATTAATTTTTTTTCAAGGTATCTTGTATTTTACTGTAGTAAACCGGCCTGTTGGTCGAGTGGTTAGTGACCCTGACTGCTACGCCAGAGGTCTTGGGGTCGATTCCCACCCAGGACACAAAGAATTGTGTGATGAGCACAGTCATTTGTTCTGTGTCTGGGTGTAATTTATCTACAATTATATTAGTATGTTTATCAGCAGTCTGGTTACCATAGTACAGGCTCTGCCTAGTTTGGGATCAGACGGCCGTGTGTGAGATGTGTAAAAATATTATTATTATAAACAAACAGCGAACGTGTAATATTTTGATTCATCATTTCATCGACCTCCCTTAATGTCTTTCAAGAATTAAGAAATATACCACAATCCTGTGTACATAGCACAATATTAAACATTATTTTATTTCCGAACAAATTTATTGATGGCCTAGAAATCGCTCCACATTACTACACAACATAATATCTATCAACAATTCAAAGTCTTCATATAAAAACTGACAAATTACATTAAGAACATAATTATAACTAATACATTAAATAAACTCTAAAAATGATAAAATATTAAAGGCGGTTATTTAGAATACCTATACACATTTATTTCACATACATAATTGATTTTGCTGTTCCATTTATTGTTTGTAAAAAATATTTATATAAAATTGATTATATTGTTACGTGAAATAAATAATAAATTACAATAATTAAATATATTCTTGTATATGTATCCCAGGAACGATTAACATTTATTTTTTTCATTTGAACGTACCAATAAAAGGGTCTTATAACTGCGTCATCAAATGACTTATATAGATGGGATGTGTCATCACAACAACACAAAATTATATTCGTTTATTATTATTTACTTTTTAAATTAAATTAACACAATCACTGATAAATCTACAAAAGAATAACAGTGCGATATTTGTTACACAAAAATTGATAATAGCGCCATCTATTGACAACAAACGTCAACATTTAGACGGTTAACGCCATCTTTATTCAATTAAATAGCAATAGATTTTTACCTAAATAGCTTTCGAATATTACTCTACATAATTAAGTTTAAAAATTACTTTGTAATATATTTAACATTAAAATTTTAAATGCGTTAAGGATCAGAGCTACGATCACGGTATACAATATAAAATAAAATTTACTAAACCAGCTGCAACAATAGATAATAGAATACAAGACTTCAGAATGTTCTAAAAACTTAATTTTCTTATAGTAAGGGGCCATTCATAAATTACGTCACACATTGAAGAGGAGTAAAGGTTGGAGGGGGGAGGTCGAAAACGTTTGATATTGAGTGGCAAGGGGTGGGTGGTGTACTAATATATTTAAATGTTAATACTTTTTAAATTTATTGTTCACAGTACAATTTAAAAAAAAGCTAATTTCGAATCTAGTGTTTTAATTTAATAATGAAATTGCAAAATATGTGACGTCACACTAGGAAAGGAGGAAAATCATAAATGTGACCAGCCGTTACAAGAATAGGGGTGACGTCAAACCATGAAATCGTTTAACGTAATTTATGAATAACTTTTAATCTTGGTACAGAGACCAGTCAGTATTTTAAGATAAATCACAACGCATCAAATGTTTTGCTTATAGTTGTCTAATGATTCCTTCTGATGGAAGGACGACGAAGATAGAACACACCTGACCACTTTTTTTTTATGACACTTTTTTTAATTTATTTAAGTCTATAAGAAAATGACTGCTTAAATATTTTATCTTTAAAAACTGACTCCAATAAACTCCGATACGTTATAAGATTATATTTTAATTATTAAAATACAAATACTTCAACCAATTCTCAAAGGATTAATATTTCTAACCTAAATGACCACTTACTACAAATGAAATGGAACAGATCTAAATAAACCTTGTCTACCGTCATAAGTACATACGTACATAAAAACTAAATGTATACAAAGAGAGACCTACAGTTTAAGAGACAGTCGATATTATAAGACTAGTGAGGGGACACGGGTAGGACTCGATAATTCGTACACTAATCGAATTTATGAAGTTATTAAAAAAGGTTGATGGAACTTTTGAAGGAAGGGGGTGGTGTTCTACTAACTCAAAGGGAGGACCTCCGTACAGGTGAAGTAATTACATCTGACAGTTTGTATTAAATTTATATTATTTTGCGTGAGAACTTTAATAGTGCGATGCAGGATTAATAGTCAATAGTTCGGTGTGTTTTCGTTAGATAGCGTTGTTCCAATGCCATCTAATGAACGAACACAGGATAGTTTGTTTCTCTTGAGGAACAAATAGGGAAGCTTGCCATATCAAGAAATAAGATATTAAATTATAAAAAACGTTGTGTCCGTATACCCCTCACGTCTTCAGTAAAATTATTCCCTACATTCACAGTACGCACTACAAATACTCTACATAAGCAAAGCTTAAAAATTATTACTATTAACAATAATCATTATTCTACAATTATTCCTTAATATTGTGTTCAAATCGGAAGAGGGGATGTTTTAGTATTTGCCTATTTTGTATTTAATATTATTTATTTCGATGAAAGTGTAGTTTAAGTATAAATTGCGCTTAGCATAAACAATAATACTAAAAGTGTAAAACGTCTATGTTTGAATATTCTATCCATTAGTTAATTAATTTAAATTATTTTTAGTAATATTGTTTATGAAAAATTAATTCGTTTATTAAATACAATTATAACTATAATGATTTAAAAATGAACGATAAATAATTCAACTTTACCATTACTTTAGAATAAGGTATACACGCGCGGCTATACGGTAGGATTTTTTTTTGCGTTGGCAACACCATAGATCCATGTTGCCAGTATTAAAAATATTTTTTTCTACTAAGTGTGTTGCGCGCCGAGTGAGTGATAATACCGTTTTCGAGGCTTACTGCTATATCCCAACGGATGTTAGATAGTGTTCTTTCGTCTATTCGCCGGTGTCCACCCAGTTCGCTTCTTCGGCTATTCTATCCATGCAGTTGCATAGAAACTGATACTGTAATAACGAATAATAATTTAAGGATTAGTGTTCACAAAGTGATCATAGTGTCCAGTCCATTCGCGTTAAGAAAATAGTGACGCATCGTCGTCCACTGATCAAGCCCTGTCCCCTGATTAACTGGGTTCTAAAAATTTTAAAATTAAGTTCACATTGACCAGTTGGTTTTTTCATAAGAATTAAAAAGTGTTTAAAAAATTAATATTTTAAAGTGTCTGATTTATTATTGTTATTATTATAAATGTTACGGTAATCATAAAGCAGTAAGTTCTGCGGCGTTTCGGAAACTGTTTATAAATAAAATGAAACTAATATATAATCGTCTATGTAAAAGAGTTCGACTATTAACGCTTGATAAATTATTTAAAAGTTTGTTTAAAAAATCATAAAGTTTTATTATCATTTGTTTAAACATTTGCAAATCGTTGTATTTTAAAAGAAATTTACGTTCAGGTAGATAAACTTAAGTGTATAAAAATATACACTGTAGAGTAATTATTTAAATGCTACTTCAATCTGATGCATTATTATTTAGTTAACGCGAATGCGCAGTGGTGGTGTGTGTGGTGTGTGGGGGGGCGACTCACGTAGGGCGTGTAGAGCGCGAGCGTGCGCGTGCGCTGGTCGGGGCGCACGTAGGTGAGGCGCAGCGCCGCCGCCTCGTCGTCGGCGCGCCACGCCCGCACGCCGCGCCACCCCACCTCCGCGCCGCCCGAGCACCCGCCCGCCCCGCCCTCCGCACCCTCCGCGCCCTCGCACCACGCGGACAGCTTCAGCCCCGACCAACCTGCGCACGCGACCTTACTACATTAATCTTACGACGCACCTCGAAGGTTCGTCCAAAACTAATGATAAAGATTTTTTTTTCTACGATCACGTTTATTTTTTTTAAATCCTGTGCCAATAGAAAACAATTTTTTTTGGCTTTTTACATACACTGAAAACTAGTTACATATGTTTTTATTACTCTTGGATTAACCCTCGTACGATGAGTAATAATTAATCATAAAATTTTAAATTATATTAATATTTTTTAAAGATGAATAATTATATTCGAGTGTGTATTTATGTAATGCATGACGCGTTTCGAACACGAAAAAGAACTCCCGTTTTAGTCCAGAACCAAACAAGATACATATACTGAACGGATACCGAGCGAGGCCACGCGGCGTAGTTACACACGGGCGAAGGTATAGGTACCGAGCGAGGCCACGCGGCGTAGTTACACACGGGCGAAAATATAGGTACCGAGCGAGGCCACGCGGCGTAGTTACACACGGGCGAAGGTATAGGTACCGAGCGAGGCCACGCGGCGTAGTTACAAAGGGCGAAGGTATAGGTACCGAGCGAGGCCACGCGGCGTAGTTACACAAGGGCGAAGGTATAGGTACCGAGCGAGGCCACGCGGCGTAGTTACACACGGGCGAAGGTATAGGTACCGAGCGAGGCCACGCGGCGTAGTTACACACGGGCGAAGGTATAGGTACCGAGCGAGGCCACGCGGCGTAGTTACACACGGGCGAAGGTATAGGTACCGAGCGAGGCCACGCGGCGTAGTTACACACGGGCGAAGGTATAGGTACCGAGCGAGGCCACGCGGCGTAGTTACACACGGGCGAAGGTATAGGTTCCGAGCGAGGCCACGCGGCGTAGTTACACACGGGCGAAGGTATAGGTACCGAGCGAGGCCACGCGGCGTAGTTACACACGGGCGAAGGTATAGGTACCGAGCGAGGCCACGCGGCGTAGTTACACACGGGCGAAGGTATAGGTACCGAGCGAGGCCACGCGGCGTAGTTACACACGGGCGAAGGTATAGGTACCGAGCGAGGCCACGCGGCGTAGTTACACACGGGCGAAGGTATAGGTACCGAGCGAGGCCACGCGGCGTAGTTACACACGGGCGAAGGTATAGGTACCGAGCGAGGCCACGCGGCGTAGTTACACACGGGCGAAGGTATAGGTACCGAGCGAGGCCACGCGGCGTAGTTACACACGGGCGAAGGTATAGGTACCGAGCGAGGCCACGCGGCGTAGTTACACACGGGCGAAGGTATAGGTACCGAGCGAGGCCACGCGGCGTAGTTACACACGGGCGAAGGTATAGGTACCGAGCGAGGCCACGCGGCGTAGTTACACACGGGCGAAGGTATAGGTACCGAGCGAGGCCACGCGGCGTAGTTACAAAGGGCGAAGGTATAGGTACCGAGCGAGGCCACGCGGCGTAGTTACACAAGGGCGAAGGTATAGGTACCGAGCGAGGCCACGCGGCGTAGTTACACACGGGCGAAGGTATAGGTACCGAGCGAGGCCACGCGGCGTAGTTACACAAGGGCGAAGGTATAGGTACCGAGCGAGGCCACGCGGCGTAGTTACACAAGGGCGAAGGTATAGGTACCGAGCGAGGCCACGCGGCATAGTTACACACGGGCGAAGGTATAGGTACCGAGCGAGGCCACGCGGCGTAGTTACACACAGGCGAAGGTATAGGTACCGAGCGAGGCCACGCGGCGTAGTTACACACGGGCGAAGGTATAGGTACCGAGCGAGGCCACGCGGCGTAGTTACACAAGGGCGAAGGTATAGGTACCGAGCGAGGCCACGCGGCGTAGTTACACAAGGGCGAAGGTATAGGTACCGAGCGAGGCCACGCGGCATAGTTACACACGGGCGAAGGTATAGGTACCGAGCGAGGCCACGCGGCGTAGTTACACACAGGCGAAGGTATAGGTACCGTGCGAGGCCACGCGGCGTAGTTACACACGAGCGAAGGTATAGGTACCGAGCGAGAGCGCGATGGCGGGCGTGGCGCGGCAGTCGGTGCGCGCGGGGGGGAAGGCCACGTGCGCGTAGCCGGGCAGCGCGCGCGCCAGCGACAGGTAGTCGGCCGCGCGCCGCACGTCCTGCAGCGCCTTGAGCTGGTACAGCCGCGCGCCCGCCTGGCACACGCCGCGGTTCACGTCCTCCACCGCCTGAGGAACACCCACACTTCAATATATACCTTACGAAATAGATTACTGTTGTGTGTGTGTGTGTATGTTGAATGTCATACCTGCCAAAATATAAAAGCTGCAGCGATGGTGTCTTCCGCTACGAGCTTGACTTCGGTGCTGGGGTTGAACAACCATTTGCGAATAGACAAACAACTGCTGGACGCCGTTGAGTAATTCTGGATATAGAGAGAGTGTGGGCATTCGTTCGGTTGGAGTTTGCGTTCTGAAACAAAAAGAATGAGATCTTTTTTACTATCTAAAACCACCAAAAGTGCCATCTAGAGGATACAAGCTGAACTACGTAGGCATTCATTTATACTGCATCACAGAATTAAAGTTTTATAGAACTTCTCAAAATTATAAGCGAAGTTGCAGCCCGCCGGTTATGATGACTCAGTGCTTTTAAAGGTTTCTTCTCTTGTGATCACTTATTAAGGAAGGAAGATTCTTATTAATATAATATATCGGCAACGCCAAACTGACTAATGGAGTTCATAATCTTTTAAAAGTCTTTGGTAAAGGGTTAATGATTCCAGCATTACTTTCAGTATGCCAGAAAAGCTAAAAGCAGTTTCTTGACAATAAAATTTTCATATGCAATAATTTAAACCAAACATAAAAAAATTAAGCTTATTGCATCTGGTTTTTATATCAGAAAGTGTGCTTTAGAAATTTTAGTTTGGATGAACCGGAAAACTATGTTAACTATTAGTAAAATTATTTTCTTTTCCGAGTTCTTTTCTATATTTTAGTATTAAAAACTTTTTTTAAACAGGTCTTTAGCTTTAAATTCACTTAATGCTTAAATGGACCTTATATTGATATTGGGAACTTAGAAAAAGAAGTAAAATACTCACCAAAATTGTATTCGACGATCTCGAACAAATAAAAATACTTCTGGACTGATTTGGACAGTCCAATTTTATCGCAGACGGCTCGGTATACATCATCAGCGTTGGTGGACTTGAGGACACTGACGGTCACCACCTCTTTGTCGGGGAGAAGGACTTTGAGGTCCACGGGCGTTGGGTTCGAAGAGTCGTCCGAGTCTGTGAGAAACTCTTGGACAGCATCTGATTCGGCTATTACACGGATTGCGCATACCTGGCCAGAGATAAAAAATTAAAGGTAAGCTCTTCTTTCTTTTTAAGCTTCTGTGTGTAATTTTCTTCGATAGATTCTCAACTATTGTCTATGAACTCATTGAAAATCAATGGTATTACATATGTGACCTCATGTTTTCTTGACCTATCGTTTCCGAAGCTCCTAAATTCATTAGAACAACATTATGGCTAGCGTTCTTCTTTAAGTTGTCGGTACATTAAACTAATTTCTTGTCGATAATTTAGCCTAGCAATATTTTTTTAAATTGTAATTTATCTGAAGTTAATAAAATGATACGACTATAATTTTTTCTTCTACTTAAGTTCATACAGAGTTCGAAATAAAATTGCTACAGATTTGGAAACACACGATTCTAAATTTTGAATTTAAAATTCTTGTTAGTATTCAACCTCAATATCTCAATCTGTGACATTTAACTTATGTTCAATGTGTTATTTGCTAAGCTTTTTATTCATACAACAACTTAATCAATAAGAAACATGCTGAGTCACACTTTTTTTTTAATTTTAAGCGACGTATATTGAACCGTGTAATCTCTTATTTCATTTTTTGTAGGACACTCGTTATACGTATCGAAAATCTCTTACATGCCTGTGCCGATCTACAACCGCCAAGGGGTTGAGCCTCATTGCTTTGATGTGTGCCAGTATGTAAGTTTTAAGTACTAAAAGGTAAAAATACAGTGAAGAGAAAACAAGATATAGAAAAAAGGTGGAATAAAAAAGAAACTGAAGTAAAACATAAAAAATGGAAAATTAAATAAAAGACACACCAGCCCACATCATACTACGAAATAGCCTGTGCTAAATTAATCCCAAGCATTCTTGTCTTCTACGTAATCCACAATTAAGTAATAGGCTTTCTGACATTAATAGTTTACGTTTCATTGTAGATTTAAATTCGTTTATACTAAAATCTTGTATACTATTTGGGATTTTATTATAAAATCGGACACATGGACCTTCGTGACTTGTTTATATTTTGGAGCCTATAGGCAGGCACAACCACTTTTTGTAGTTTTGTTATATTACCTTTTCTAAATACTGTTCGAGACCTCGTCTCCTTGCGTCGAGCTGTTGTTCGCTCAATGTGAATGGCCATTTGCCCGGCAGTTTTGGAAAGTTAAAACCTAAAATAAAATTAGACCAGCTTAGAATAGATTAAATTTTATAAACGGTGCGGAAACACGTAGACACTGCAAAACATATCTTAGTGCCATCTAGCGAAAAACAATCGAACTACTTAGTATCTACTGACCCTGCATCGTGCAATAAAAGTTCTAGGGTATATTATATACTAAGGGGCAAACGAGCGAACGGGTCACCTGATGGTAAGTAACTACCGCCGCCCATGGATACGTGCTCAAGAGTCAAAGGTGCGTTGCCGCTCTTTAAGTCTCTTAGTAAGTGGGGTTAGAATTTTTGCTTAGCTTTGTTAGAAATATATAACACTCATTTTCTTCATAGGTAATAGAGCCAATTTTTAGAGTTAATTTGTACATGGTAATTAACTTGAAATACTATTGTAGGTATAACATACTGAACTGAAATATACAATAACGATTATTCTATCCTAATTAATATTTTCTTCATCGCCCAATAACATTTGATGGATTTTAATAACATTTGATATTTGATACAAAATAAGGTTTGATAAAAGGTAATTAAGACTATGTTCTTACTTACCCAAGAATTCCTTCCGTAACTGTTGGTGTAACGCAGCAAATTCCCTATACCGTCTGCTGCAAAGGTGTCTCCCAGCCATGTGGACATTAAAAGCAACAAACGACCTGCCCGTATTCCTCTCCATGACGAGTCTGTAGTCAGGAATGGAGACCGGTAGTGATCGTTTGTCGGTATAGTCGTATCGCTGGTAAACTGTGGCTCGGGAGTTGGCCGCTCCACCGATGACACCGACTGGTGCGGTTCCATCGTCACAAGGTTCAAGGCGTTCTGCTTCCTGTAAACCAAGCCTGAGCATGTAGATGCTTTAGGTATACATCAGTTGGTGGGACCAGTAAACGAGAAAGGAAATCTAAGGTAAACTTACACCAAGTAATAAGTCCCTTAAATCCCTAAACGTTAGGGGTTACATGTCTATTAATTTGCCTTTACTTATACTTGCCGTTAAAGATATAGATATATTTAATCATGGTTAGAAATATAAGCAGACAAAAAATATCTGTATGATAACTAACACGTGAATAAAATTCGTTTAACATTTCATATTTTACATATCGCACCTTTAAAGACAAACCGTTACTAAACGAAATTTTTGGAGAATTGAGTTATTAATGCCATATTTCTTAAAACTACGTAAACTATACGATGAGTTTGACACTGTTCAAAAAAATCCAAATTTAGACATAGATGGCATCGGTTTTGACCGTTACAAAACTAAATAAGATTTGCTTGCTAAATGCAATAACGTGTCTATACTAGTTGTGAATTGTTCGTTAAAGAGTGATGACGGAAGTTTAGTGACAACTTGCTGTGGTTTAAAACTAGATACTGAATAAAGACTAATTATTAAGACAGATTAAGCAATACTAAAGACTTAAGTGTCATAATGTCAAAGAAATGTATGGATCTCTCGTTTTAAATGAGAATAAAACATTGATTAGAATGTGTTATTTTATTTATCTGTCCAAGTATTTTTCAAGGGTTTTCAAGTATTTTTATATTTTGTTACATAATTTATATGGGGATTTTACAATAATTAATCAAAATTGAAAAAAAAATAATGGAAAAGTGTTACTATAAAAATTTAAAATCGTAATTAACAATGTTCTATTTAAAAAAAATAGCTTTTCTGAATTTAATGTTATAGTGTAAATAAATATCCATCATTATGACCATAAAGAACGGCTCAAACCACCATGATCTTAAATGCTAATGCAAAAAGGTCCTGCATTTTTCTTATTTTAGCTCCTGTGTAAAATTGAATATTTTCGTTTAGAAACGGTTTGTCTTTAAAGGTGCGATATTTAATGTTTTTATGTAAAGTGCAGAAAGTTAAAAATCTTAAACAATATGTGTAATAAAGTTAAAAAACTAAGATAAAAGGGTACAGTATAGATTTTGATCTGTCTTAGTACAAAAGTATTCACATTTAAAGATTAAAACAGATTTATCTAAATAGACGTGTTGGGACACAAAAATATTTGAACTTAGCGGGGTGCAAATAGAAAGTTGGTAACAATATTTTTTATTATCATGCACCCACACTCGTAATAATGTGTTCTAATGATCCAAAACATGTCTCAACATGTTGTCTCTAGGTTATGACAACTTCCATTATAGTCAATACAACGCCTACTATATTAAATTTTGAACGGAGCCTACATCACTGTATACGCTACACTTTCACTTATTATTGTTATGCCTCGTAGAGCATGTGAGAGCTTCGTCACAGTTGTTGCAAATATGCTCCCACACTAGGAGAATACCCAAGTAACTCGGAGGAATACTCTTCAGTGAACCCGTGCGAAGCCGGGGCGGGTCGCTAGTACCTACATATCGCTAGGCAGATTTGAAATAAATTTTCGAAATATATAATTTTATTATTATATTTATTTTGCCACGTGGTGTGTCCGTGTGGTGACGGATTAAGAATATGGAATGTCACCACCCCTATTCATCCCGTGGGTGTCGTAAGAGCAGACTAAGGGAGCAAACTACGTAGGACAACAGCACTGCAAAGAAAAGGAAAACTTGAAACAAACCCTATATCAACCCGTCTGGCTAGCTTGGTATAGTAGGCTAAAACCTCCTTTCTAAGGAGAGGCCAATGTCCAGCAGTGGACTATTACAGGCTATTGATGAATGGTGACAGGAGGGTTGTAAAGGAGTTTCTTTTTATGTATGAGAGACGTCAAAACCATCTGTTATTAACGTAACATAGTGTACAAAATTAAACTGTTTCGCCACTTTCGCAAAAATTACTTTTAAATTCGGAAAGTACATAAAACCTTCTGAGATTACGGATAAAATGACTAGTGTTACTATCTTTTTGACCTTTTGAAAGAAACTCCATAGGGATGTGATCTTACAACAAACAACTCACCGTCTGCAAAACCCCAGAAGACGCCAGCCATTTTGTCATACTAAAGGCGATCTTGACGTAGTAAGTAAAGGATAGTATTAAAACTGCATTTGATTCTATCAGGGGGACGGAATGCCTTACTTGTAAGTCGGGTAAACGTTTTGAATATGTTTTGAGTTATTTCTTTTAAGGTTTTAACTGTGTAACTTGTGACACCTACGGGATAAATAACCCTTATTCACACATGAGATGATGACACATCGTATTCTTAATCCGTCACCACAGGATAGCTTAGCTTAATAATAAATATGATATCTTACTCTGGGTGTGACGGAAATGACGGTGAGTGTAAGACAATCGCCTCCCGATTTGATTAGGTCTACCACTTGTCTGTGCGTCGAGCCTTCAACATTTACACCGTTACTGCAACAAATAGAAGAATGTAGTTACTAAATGTAGAATTAATACAATCATATTATACTTGACGACCGGATGGCGTAGTGGTTTGTGTAAAGGACTGCTATTCCAAAGATCGCGGGTTCGATTCCCGCTTCAGTCAAACATTTGTGTGCATGAACATTTGATGTTTGATTTGGTCTGGGTGTTTCTATGTATAATATGTATTAATTACAAAAAAAAAGTATATATGTATTTATATCAGTTTTCTAGTACCCATAGTACAAGCTCTGCTTAGTTCCGGACTAGATGGCGTTGTGTGTATGTGGTAGAATATTATTATTATTATTCGTGTTTTCAATCGTTCAATATATTGAAAAATCAACAAAAATGACTTATTTGCTATGAACGCTGCTATTATTCTTGACTAGATCATAAGATTACTAATATATTGTTATTTAAGGCGTCTTAGCGACTCCAATGACTTGTGTGGTCAGTCAGAATCTGTAAAAAAAGGTCAGGTCTTACAGTCAATTTTTTCATTCTTCTTTTATCTATAATATGTATGTATTTAAAAATATATAAGTATGTTTATCAGCAGTGTGGTTACCATAGCACAGGCTCTGCCTAGTTTGGGATCAGACGGCCGTGTGTGAGATGTGTGAGGTATATTATATATTATATTATATATTCTAATTGGGTTCTTTATTTTTGGATATCTTAAATTACATTTACACGAGGTTTATTCATTCAAATGCTATACAATAAAGCGGTACATAATACAAAGCCATCACACATATGTTGATAATGCTCGAAGAGGTTAACGCGTCTCATTTATTATTAGAAAAGATTTACGACATACTATAGATTGTAACAATAATAGTAAACAAGGAAAACACGTGACTCGCAGTTAGATCCGACATTTAGTCAAACGTGAAGAAATCAGCAAACTCTTAATACTGAGGTGTTGCTTCTAAATTACATGTCTATTTTGATATTTACAAATTTTGCCCGTCAATCTCTGTCTCTGTCAGCCGCCACTATAGGCTTCGTAGTGTCGCTTTTAAAAACATTACTACTGTGCAACCGTAATCAGTGCAGATCCGTGTTCACACAACGAACCTGGCCGATCATCTGGACATACAAGATTTGTTTCTTATAACCAGAAAGTACTACAACTGCTCACTACAATAATTGAAGGTACGATTAGATACAAATGGGTAGGATTAAGACTACGTTAAGGACTTCAAATGGATCCAGAGATAGAAAACCCACCCGCTCCCTGGTCATTTCCTGACTGTGTCCACAGATAACCATAGTAAACTAGAGCAGTTTACAGCGTAGGCTTTACTCTGGGCGCCGGCTGAACATTGGTCGAAAGCACCAACGGTTCTGGCAGAGAACCTTTGGTGCTTTTGGTAAAATCCATGACCAGTCCATGTTTTCTAGTCAGATGTTTTTTTATAAAAGACAAATCTCGCCCCAGGAATATATCCTGTGTCGCGGGGGACTTTATTGGAACAGACACTAAGAACACTCAGACTCAGAATAACAACTTGTTGATCACACAAAGTATTGTTCTATTTGAGGATCGAACCAGCCGTTTAAAAAAAAATAAAAAAATTCATATTAGCTGACGTACTTTTACAGATAGTAGTCAACAGATTAAATCATATGACGTGTATGTATATTGTAGTTCTGTTTACAGATTTCAGAACGAATAGTAAACCAATGTATGCTAAACAATCTTTTGTTTGAGTTTCATAACGTGTTTTTACACATCAATAGGAACATCTAAGAAGTTTAACTTTGAATTAGACTATGGTAAATAATCTGTTGTGTGAAGCTTGATATAAAAATGATACTTGGGATGGGATAGTTAAGATTTAGCTAAAATGTTAAGACATTTATAACTCTACGCCTACGTCAGGGTTCTTACGAGACTTCGTTATAAGAATATTTGTTTTATCTTATACTGGATAAGGTTAAAAACAAAAATGTGTAATAATAAGTAAACCAGCCTACATCATGATTATTAAGATGCTTAATTTGCTTATTTTTCACTCTTAGGTTAGTATATTTTCTTCAAATTTGTAGAGGGCTAAGTAATCTCAAAATGGTTCACAAATGATGGAGTTTTAGGAAACAATAGTACAACTGAATTGAGAACGTATACATTTATTTGTTGTCGTTTGTTACAATGGTATACCTAGTACATAGTTTTATCATACTATTTACGACTCAGTCTTTTTAGAATTATTCAGTTACAACGCTTAATAAGTGTGGCCATGCGATTTAAAAGAGATGAAAGTAATAATAATAATAATTTATTGATTTATAACTTGGTACACATATGATTGAGAATCTCCTGGCTCCTGCGCTAGTTTAAACTGTGTTGCAGGAGACGGTGTCTTCCGCACGTAATATAGAGGACCCAATGTCATAGATATACAAGCAATACAATAAAAAAATACGGACAAACAAGTAAAACTTTGACTGGCGTAGTGGTTTAAGCGGTCGCAACGCCGCTTCCTACTACGCCGAGTCACGGTACTATTATAATACAGTACTGCAACTTCATACAAACGGACGAAACGGGAGCTATACCTACGCGCCTCGATCTCGGGGTGCGCTCGGGGCGCAGACAGTCACGGCTGTACCGCAGTGTCGAACGGACTGCGTGTTGTTTTTTTAACAATAACCGCGCGATTTTTTCTCTAAAAATCAGTAAATATGACGAGTAGGAAATATTGTGCTGTTTTTGGTTGTATGAATTCGTCAATAACGCATCCAGACATAAGTTTTTTTAAATTACCTGGAAACTCTGAAAAGTAAGACTATAAAATAATTTTACTTACTAGTACGTAGGTACATAATGTGTGTCTTTTTAATGGATAAGTATTTCCTTTTATCTCACGAAAAAAAAGGTGTTTGGATGAATAAATAAAGCAAATAGAGTAACGGAAAGTTATTGAGACGAGTGAAATAGGGAGTTACATGCAGTTCTGAATGAATCATGATACGGTAGGTACCTACCTACTTACGCTTGTGTTAAAACTTCGGTGCATGTTTGTTTTGTTACTTTGCATAATTCAAAAAAAAGAAAATTCTACTTAAAGACGTGGTATTTTATTATTAATAATATATCTTTATTATCTGTGTGTATGAATAATACTAAAAAAAAATTGTTACCGTCTGTGTGTCATTAGACAGTTTTCGAAATTTTCACAAAGTGTTTCTGCTGCTACTATAACAACATATACCACTAAAAACTGGTTTTATTTTCTCGGTATTAACAACAACAGCTAGACTCATATATAATATTTAGATGTTTGAGGGTTGTGATTTTAAAACATTCGTAGTCAGCTGTTCAGCTTTTTAATAATTAATTAATTGGTGACCAAAGAATTTTTGTTTTGAGTTGTTGCGAGTTGTAGGTTATAGGTTAGGTAATTTATAGAGACGTTAATTAGCTGAGATAAAAAGTTACTTACTCGTCAGCTGTTTCTTGCATTCTAGTTGAGTAGGTGGTAGGTGTTGGAGTGTCTAAGGATTGGAGTTTTGTAACGCGTTTGGAGAAAGCACATTTATTTTATTTTATAGAAGGATTTTTTTCGGTCGCTAATTTATAAGCCCGATTGGTTTTTCAAACAAAAAAATGTTTTTTAATTAAATCTACCAATCAAAAAACAACACGCATTTTTATTGAACAATTCCTATTCAATATACAAAGTATTTCATTTATTCATATAAAAAGGATATTTACAATCACAAATCTAAATAGAAACAGAAAGTAGGCAAATATAATTAAAATGCTGGAGACGGGCAGCCCTAACGCATGTTTAAGTACCGCGCGGCTGTAGGCATTTATTTCTATCATGCGGCCGAGTTACAATACTGTATTATAATTGTACCGTGGCCGAGTGGTGTGGATTCAAACCCCTCATGGGACGACAATTTGTGTGTCCACAAATTGTTGTTCTGAGTCTGGGTGTTCTTTGTGTCCGTTTTATGTATGTTTGTAAAGCCCCCCGCGACACAGGATATATTCCTAATGCGGGAGTTGTCTTTTTAAAAAAAGAAAAGAAAACAGAGAAAAAATACTAAGTAAGTAATTACCTGGTTAATTTTAATTACTCTGTGTTGTGTGCGTGTTTTTGTGTGTATGTCTGTGGGTGCGTGGGTGCGATCGTGTAGGTGAAGTGTAAAGTGATTCAATAACGATAGGTAGATACACGCAATACGCCTCCTACAATAAATACATAGTTTAGTGACATGTGACTGATGCAAATTCAGGTCACTCTGTGATCATTGTTAATAATACTTTCGTTAGTCGACACAATAAAGTCTGCTTCGGTCAGTACGTAGCTATTATACATAATAGAGTTTTGTTTCATATCGCGCTTGACAATTCACTCACCTGTATGTATAGTTATATTCCTATTATAGTCATTCATATTAGTAAAGGGGCAAAGGAACACATGTGTTATCTGATGGTAAGTAACTTTTTTTGTTTTTTTTTTAACGTGTGGAAACGCCTTCGGGCCGTCACCCAACCGGGGTTGCGGCGGAGCGGTGTGTGGAAATCGAACCGACTAAAACAACACGGCGTGCCACTTCGCGCCTGAGATAGGAGGGGTCCGGGAACAGCCGATACTAAGACATCTGGATCCCTCCCAGCGCTGGCCGAAACAGCGCGGGCACCACCTTTGGCTAACCAACTACCTCAGCCTATATACACCTACAACTTTAGTCACGCGTGTAGTCCAAGAGTTAAAGCCCTTTAAGTACTTCCTCAGAAAAAAGGGGACGAGGTTCTGGGCTCCAGTACCCACGAAAGAATAGCTTAACACCGGTTTTCAATGAAGCCGTGGTATCACCTCCATAGAGCCTGCACATTTGTTGCGATTAATTTTACACAGGAATTAATTTAGCAGTTTCGCTGTTATGAAATGAGGCACGTTAGACGTCGTAATCTGAGTGTTTTTACGATAGTATAACATTTTAATTACTTATTTTTAATAGATTTATTTGCTTTGAGTAGTCAAATAAAAATAAAAACAAAACAAAATGTGACAAACTAGATATTGACATGTTGGATGGTTTCTTGTATTTTTTTAGGGACAATAAATATCTATAACTAGCTGACCCCCGCAACTTCGTCTGCGTCTCTCAATAGTAATAAATTTTCTCCGTTTTTGAAACATTCTTCATCGGTGCTCCGCTCCTATTGGTCTTAGCGTGATGATATATAGCCTATAGCCTTCCTCGATAAATGGGCTACCTAACACTGAAATATTTTTTTAATTCGGACCAGTAGTTCCTGAGATTAGCGCGTTCAAACAAACAAACAAACCCTTCAGCTTTATAATATTAGTATAGATTGATATATGTATAGTTACTCGTGCGTATTTATGGCCTTAATAGTATTATATAAGCCACAAGTGTGAATCATGTTATTGCTTAGAAAGTATTAAATTTGATAACCTAAACGCTCACCCCTAATACGCACAAAGGTTTTCACGTAGTACAGTATATATCGCAATGACGCAGTCGCTGGACTCGTGCCAGTTTTATCGACGTAAAATATTAATTATAATCTTTGATAGCAGCTGGTAAGTACACATTTTAACCGTGATTTACAATATGGCCAGCGTGGTACAGTAGGCCAAGACCCCTTTCTAAGGAGAGGCCCGTGTCCAGCAGTGGACTACTAAAAGCTGTTGATGATACAATAGAAACACATAATACATGATAGAAATTACGGGAGGGTGATACCCCTCCTATTCTGGAGGAGGCACTCAAAGTCGGCACGGCTGTTCGTTTACTTTACCATAAAAAAAAAAAAGAAAAAAAAAAGCTTAGGCTTCTCGTGAACAGTCCTTGACTTGCCTGACCTATTGTTTACAATCCGTAATCCAACTGTGTAATCGATATCACTTTACTTCCAATGTTTTCCCTTGCTACAAATTCTTCCTTTTCGATACAAATTTAAAAAAAAAATACGAAAATCCCCATTGTTTTATGATAAAAGGGGGCACCCCGGGTCACCTGATGGTAAGCAACCGCCGCCCATGGACACCTACAACTTAAAAGTCACAAGCGCGTTGCTGATTTATATTATATTGTACATCTACAGAATTTTAACAAGGAATTTATCTGTTAAATGAGTAGAAAGGGCTTGATCGCAAAAAGCAATTCCTTACAGGCTGTGTAACTGCGATCAAATTATGAAAAAATGTATTATCTCGATTCTTACATACAGCCCAGTGACGTAACCAGAGAAGTGCCAGCGTTTCCTAGGCACATTGGAGGAGCGCAGAAAGTCAAGAGCCCACTAATACGAAAATATTTTCAAGGGGAAATGCTGATTACGTTACTGACACACGCGTGAAGTTATGCGAGTCCCTATAACTTCAGTCTGTACACAAAGCCCGTGTGACAACTCAAAAGTTTTAAGTCTGTTTAGAAAACAGGTTATAATTCTTTTATATAATGTAAATGACAATGACAAACGCCTTTTAAATTTCGAGAAAGACTCACAGTCATTGTGAGTCTTTCTCGAAATTTAAAAGGCGTTTGGGAAAATTGTAAGCTTAATGTTGTTTATTGTGTGTGTTTTATTTTTTCTCCCAATTTTAATTTTATTGCACTTTCAATTAATTGTAAATACTAAGCACTTTTCTTTTTTAGGCTCTATTGTATCATAAAATTATTATTTACTTAGTTGAAAATACGCATGCTGTGGTCTCCTGTAATTGAAGGAGTACACATACCAATACCCGTGTGAAATGTATTTTTGATATTTTGTGTACATCCTTTGTTGGAGATCCTTAAATAAATAAATAATAATACAAGATATTCACCCATCATTTGCTAAAGTCTCCTCTGTTTCCAAATCATATACCTCGAACCCGGCATAATAATAGTAAGAGTAGCGAAAACTTCCCACGCCACCTCTTTGCACTTCAGACATCTTGAAACACTGATAAACATTGACACAATACACACGAATATAATACTTTCAGACAATATTTCGTCTATTTAAAAAAAAAAAACGCAAATATGCTTTTTTAGACTACACTTCTACACGGAGGCGATATTTTCAAAATAAAAAAAAAATACGTCTGTTCGCGTTGCTGCTTCAAGAGCATTAGATATTAGAATAACACAAGCATATCGTAACATTAACAAGCCGTTAATGAGTGTTAAATATACAAAGTTTAACAATAAACATTGACACATGAATTGCGACGTTCAGTAATTGGTCATACTTGTTGCTGATAAATAGATTAGATGCAGTTTTGACCTCGACCACGATAAGAACATGTTTCCACTAAACGATATTATTGTTTCAATATTTTATTGTATTTCGAAGTTTATACAATCTGTGATTGTGGAATATGTGTAATATTCTAATAATAGAATTACACACTAACAAATTGCATTTGTGTGCAGATAAACATTGTAATAAATCCACCATTGGAATAATTATACCTACCTAAGCATCATTAGTGAGTGAAACTGGTCCTGCTGGTCAAGTGGTTATTGGTCTTGATTGTGATTCTCGCCCAGGACAAAGAAGCACCATCATTCATTCTGTTGTAATATTGTTATACTTACTCTTGTTCCGTGTGGTGACGGATTAAGTATACAAAGTGTCACCACCCCTATTCATCCCGTGGGTGTCGTAAGGGGAAAAAACTACGCAGAACACCAGCACTGCAGAGAGAAGGAAAACTTGATACCAACCCTATACCAACACGTCTGGCCAGCGTGGTATAGTAGGCCAAAACCTCCTTTCTAAGAAGAGGCCTATGTCTAGCAGTGGACTGTTAAAGGCTGTTGATTGATACTCTTTAAATATGTTCAAGAACGTGCTGGTATTATCTTGGCATAGCACAAGCATTTGGCTTGTCTAATACTTTGTTCAATTTAGCTACTAAGAGAAAACATTCTTTAAATATATATAAGGAATATAATCTATGTGTGATATGTAAATCGATTTACATCAGCCTGATTGAACGATAGCATTTACCTTCCCATCTACAGCCTTTAATAGTTCACTGCTGGACATAAGCCTCTCTTTAGAAAGGAGGTTTTGCATTTACCTTAACCCTTGTTAAATAAGCAGAGGTTTCTTCAAGAGCTGAGTTGCTAATTAAAAATAAATAAATGATTTTCAGATGTCTCTGTATGATTCTGGAACTTTCGTCATAGCAATTGTTGATATTTTATTCGGATCTTAACAGGCAATTGAAGAAAATCAAACACAATAGGAAACTAAATAGACCGGTATGTTATTATTACAGCTGAGAATGATCAGTTGTATGACGTGTTTCTTTATTAGCCTTTAAGGACGTTATTTTTTTAGATAGATCCAAAAATTTAAGGTCTCAAAAATCGAGTTCAGAATGTTATGCTACAGTATATCCATTATATCACATAACAGTCCTACTAAAAAAAGCTTAATTACCTATGTAATACGATCTATACTTTGTTAAATTTATAATTTACACTTTCTTTCACTAAAGAGATCTTAAGGCTGTCTGATTTTAAATGACGCAAAGCACCAAACTGCTAGAAAATGATTGTGAGGTTAACGATTTTGGATGGGAAACAAGTCCACGACCTCGGGTTTAGCCGACAGAATCACTAACCATTAGACCAACAGGCCCCATCTGGATAGGCTGATAGGCAGGGAGAAGCCACTGGCTTTCCCTGAGATGGGGCCTAGTTAGGTGCAGCGTCGATCTGGGGGAACCTGAAATCAGGGCGCCTAAGGCTGGCCGTCGGAGTGTTTTTTAGTGGAAACACCACATACTCCTGGTTCCTATATCCCCAAGGAGCCGGAGATCCAAAGGGATTTTCACTCCGACAACAAATAATAAATCCTCCGATAATACATTAATTTCAAAGGCATAAAAGCGAAAATACAGCATAAGATCCGCATACAATGCACTAATATTACTGCGAGTGTCGAATTCCATGCTCCGCAGATAAGGAACTAATTAGGTTATTGGATTATTGATGCAGTCTTGAACTATTTAGTCTAACCGGTATTTTCCCGTTTAATTATGTAAATAATTAGTGTTTGTTTATTTAGTAATAAAAAATATATAACTAACTGCGTCGCCTAACCAGCTAGTCTGATTTGTATAATTGGTTTGGGTGTTTGCGTGGCTCCTTCGATTGTTTAGTTCTTAGTGCACTTTTAGGTAAAAATATGTTCCGTGTTCCAGAAACCACATCCGGGTTTTTTAAAACTTAGGTCGAATTTCTAGATACTTTGTAACCAGTGTTCGGTAATAAGTTATGGGAAGGTACGATTAGTGTATCAATCCCTGCACAGAAGTCACTGAATCTTTTTGGCCATTGCGGTTTGACTACAGACTAAGCTTTAGTGAAGCGGTGTACAAATTATTTCCTGTAAAGGAAGTCTTGTCTGTTGCAATCATTATTATTTAATTCTTTTTTTTAAAGATAGCTCCTGCAATATATCCTGTGACACGGCGGACCTCACAAACATACATGAAACGGATACAAAAAACACCCAGACTTAGTACGACAATATGTGGATCACACAAAGTGTCGATCCATTTGGGAATTGAACCCACAACACTCGGCGTAGTAGGAAGGCGTGGCGACCGCTTAAACCAATACGCCATCCGTGCAGTCAATCATCAAGTCAGAATTTATAGGGCTAAATGAGCGGCCACGTCCCCTAAAGGTAAGTGACCACCGCCCCCCAACGATACATAAGACCACAAACGCGAAAGGCCAATATACGTAACAGACCAAACACGCGTAAATATACGCAAAAGGCCAAATAGACGGTAAACAAAAATTTTATTACGCGTTTTACCAAAAATTGATTTGGGCAAATTTTATTACGCGTTATACCAAAAATGCATCTGGCCAAAATTATGCTACGTAGAAACTAATGAGGTTTTATAGGGGGGAGGGGAATGTGTAGTATTCACATAACCAATATCAAACTAACTATTTACTATTAATTCTGTATCATAACTTTCTTTATAATTACGTCAATCAACAGCCTATAATAGTCCACTGTTAGACATACGCCTCTCCTTAGAAAGGAGGTTTTGGCCTACTACACCATACACTTTTTTTTTCCGTGCGGAAATCCCCTCGGATACCACCTGTCGGTGGCATGTCGGACTCGAACCGACTAAAACTGCACGCCGTCTCGGGTACTAATAGCCGGGGAACCAGGTATACCTATACCATACTCTAAGACTTACTCACTACAAACATACATTTCAAATCGATCTGTACAAAGTCATGTACCGTCATTTCAGTCAAGCACGGTAGGTAGGTTGCCATATATCTAGGTGAATAAAGACTAATTTATTATGAACCATTTAATCAACACCAAACTCAATTTCATGTGGAGACGGATTTGTTGTTACTCGTTCGGACCTGTATTCATCCCGTGGGTGTCGTAAGACCGACTAAGAAAGCAAACTATTAAGGTCAACAGCACTGCAAAGAGAAGGAAAACTTGAAACCCGTCTGACCAGTGTATTGTAGTAGGCCAAAACCTCCTTCCTAAGGAGAGGCCTATGACCAGCAGTGGACTATTAAAGGCTGTGGATGATGATGATGATGAAACTCAATTTCTTTATTTTCTTAAGAGTGTTATTCTGTCTGTCTGTCTGTGATTTGTTGAGTTATCTATATTTCATGTCTCATCTCTTGAAAATTACTTTCTTAACTAGTTTGTCAGAATACTAAACTAGGTGAACATTTACAGAAGTAATCGCGACAGGAGTCAGACATGAAGTGGTCTAGCGGAAATATTAAATATTCAGTGACCACTTTCGCGGTGGTTGCACAAGGGTTTTTAGCCATTGTTAAGTGGAAGGGATGTTGTTACACCACAAGTAATCATGATTACTATTATTTCGATTGCGTATACCGATTAAAAGAAAAGTAAAGGTACCCTATATCTTTTTTACCTAGATGCAAATATTGGTATCTATTCTGTACTCCTCGCAACGTGATGCAAGATTGCATCATGATTGCTTCAGCATTTAACAATTTCAAACAACAACAACATTAGAATAATCTTCGTTAATAAACAGCTCTATAAAGTTTCTTCTAAATCGAATGTGCAAATTTTAAGAATTGTCTGTTAAAACAATCCAATTGCTATGAAATAGATGGCTGGAAGCTTTTAGAATTGATATCTTTTTAGACTATTGGTATTGGTTGTGGGCTCCAATTGCCGCATTTAGACTCGAAAGTTCCTCCTTTAAGCTCCTTCTAGAAGCGCAGAAGCCTCCTGAAACGTTCACAGGCTTCTAGGAGCGATTTTGTACCAGGTCTGGTACTTTACTTTCGTTTTAGACAATACAAGCAATTCAATAAAACATTTACTCTATTGAGCAAGAGTCAGACAATATTGAATAATACTCACCCTGAATCCAACAGACGATATTGTGTATTCCCACCACAAAATTTCCTCTGCAGCATCGGCTCGTACAAACAATGCATGTTATTAAACATTGTTCCTTTTCAACTGATACGTTTGATTATTGCACGAAATACCATCACTTAACGAATGACTACGTCCAAAAACATACGAATATTTATGTTTTTAAGTATTTCTGATTAAAATATAAGAGTCCTTTAATACAGATAGAAAAATAAATCTAGACAGTTAAAAAAGTTGGTGTCTGTAAGCTAAATATGACAGCTCTCAATACCGGCAAAGTATGACAGAAACAAGTTGACGAACGAAGCCATTATGGCTAGGTTACGAAATGCGATCCTTATACAAAATATACATCTTCCTAACCCAAGTGATGTCTTCAAATATTTGTGGAGAGTTTGCGATATTGGTGAGTCACATAGTGTGGGCGAAGATCAATATAAAAGATAACAAAACAAGTTGTTAAGGACTGCAGTAACTGAGACCACTTTCACACGATACTGAAATGTACTTTCGTT